GTTATTATTATTACTACTATCAGCAGCAGCCATAGCAGCCTTGTTATTCAGGCTGAGTCAGAGGCAAAACTCAAACCAAGGTCTCATGAGTCCTATTTCAGTATTCTTTCACTTTAATTTCAAGGTACTGCACAGAATTTTAAGTTAATGATACTGCACATAAGTAGGGCTTGAAGAATGCCTTCTTCTGGGTACCTCTCTCAACACTGGAAAGTCTGTTTTCATAAACATCACCATATATGTACTTCCTGCAACCCTGCTCTTCCCACAGTCAATTAGGATGAATGTCCTGATGAAAAGGCAACAGTAATTCTTTGTCACAAGTGCAAATAGCACTATTACAGAGCTGATATGATTAAACACACAATCATTTGAAAACAAACTGAAGTTGACATTCTTCATTAGTCTGGCTGTCTGTGGCACAACAGTTCTCTAATCCACCCACAGCCTTCACATGGTAATAATGATAACTCTCATTGGCACAGGGCTATACAGTTTTTAGAAAATCCTTCACTCACATCTTCCCATGTGATTCTCACACATTGCTATGCAGTAGAAAGACAAGGTATTATTACCTCATTTTGTAGATGAGAAGAGTAAAGCTAAGGAGTGACTAACTTGGGGTGACCCAGTTGGTAAGCAGCTGAGCCTGTCAACTCAAACCCAGAAATTCTGTCTTCAAGTGCCTATGTGGTTTTCCTGCTATAGAAAGCACACGGCCCTCAGCTTGATTACTTACAATATAAAGTGATTTTTATTTTCAGATCAGGTTCAAATACAAAAGAATCCTCAGAGTAACTGAAATGTACTAGCATCCTGTGAAATAAGTTAGTACACCTACAGAAATATCAGTCTGGTGTTCTGGAGGGTCAATAGTTGCTCTGCTACCAGAGAGAATTAGGTACTTATGAAGATAGAGCTGAGAATCTTTCTTTGTGCTTAGAAGCATACACAGTAAACTTTCCAGTGAAAAAAAGAAACCTGACAGAGCAAGCAAGCAATGGTCATCTTTCTAAGTTATCAAGACTTCTGTGCAACATCTGATTCTGCAATCTGTCATTGCTCAAAGCCAAGAAATGAAGAGACAATGGGAGCCCAGTTCTTTGTAGAAAGCAGTGCAGTTGTTGGGGGCTTTGTTCCCTTCCTTCTGCCAAATGGGATGGGACTCTGGCAAATCCTAAAAACAGTTCTAAGGGCCAAGAAATTACTTCATAAGGGAGAGGGAGGGAGAAAGAGAAGGAGGAGCTGGATCCCTGGAGCAATCAGTTTACGTGCTGTGATATGAGATTTGATTATCTTTATCTGATTTTTATAACTTCAAATGCTATTGGTCTCAAAATACCCAGCATTTTAAAGATCTCTGATTCACTTTTGAATCTGGTGACCTGTCTCTACATATTGGTTATAAGTTCAATTTCCCCCAAGTAATTCAGTATGCATTAGCTCCACATTCCCTAAGAGCATTATCTTGTCTTTTGTTAAGTAGCATTGGCTTTCATTTTTTAATTCCTCAATTCTAACTCACATTTCAAAATCCAGATAAAATAATCACAGCAGGTTATAGGGAAAAAATGTTGAATTTAATATAGGGAGACTTGAATTGAGATCCTGTCTTTTTTATTAATTAAATGTACAGCTGTATCAAGCTTGATTGTTATCAGGCTATTTTTACTCCTCAGGAGGTCAGTTTTATCCTTTGTTCAGAAAAAAAAATGTTTATTTCTAATTTCTAAGGCTTTAATATTTTCTGTAATTCTATGATTTTCTGACTTCCAAACAATCCTCAGGAATTCTCATGTTGCCAAACTGAGGTGGTATTTCTCAGTACAATACACACTCCTTGCGCTCTGATAGGAAAGTAAGAAGATCTAGAGTCCACAGCACATACAGCTAAAACCATGTTTTTTTCAAAATATTCCAAACCAGGTGAATTAAATAAACAGAAATAAAATCAATGAAGATGTTATGTATATGTTCATATCTTGCTTTAACTCACAACTTGGAAGAATGTATAAAACAATATGGAAAAATTACAATATCAAAAAATTAAAATAAGGAAATTGTGAGTAGAACAGAAGGTCAAGACCATAAGGAAAGACAGAACAAAGTCATGTATAGCTTGATAAAGTCTATATTGTATTAACATTGACATTCAATATGTCAGTCCTCACACTGTTTTACCCATGCTTAAAGATCACAAACTTTTGTATGGGGTAGTGAAACTATATTTATTATATTCAGAGTCATATATTTTCAAATATTTGTGGTCTTTTCTTACAAAAAAATATATTACAATCAGGAAAAGCCCTGTCACACCGTGTATTTCCTAGGTCCTAGAACATATTTGAAGCACTAAGGATTGGACAATTCTACATGTCTTATGAAAATAATGTATTCTCTATACTTTTTAATGCATATATACATCTGATCCACACTGAAATGCTTTCAATCCAAGGTCTGGATCTTTATTGAGTTGTTTTTTTAAAATATAACTTCCAAATGTATGTTACTGTTTGATTCTTTTCACTGAACTAACAACCCAGAAGATACAAATCAAGTAAAAGCTTGATGGCCATCTGGTGGAGATCTTACAGAAGGTGTTCATACTTTGGGCAGAGTCTGGCTTCTTTTCATAAAAGCTGGTGAAAACTGGGTGTGGACTTCAACCCTGTGGACCAGTTCTCAGGCATAAGACAGAATCCAGGAGGCCTGGCTGGATCAGATTTGTTTTGCAGAGCATCAGACAACAGATGTAAGCCAAGGAGTAAGCACTAATATTATCACAGGGATTACCAGTCACTACCAAAAGAATATTATTAAACAGAAACAAATGTAATGATAACAGGAAAGAAAGCAAAAAGTCAGGAGCTAAAAGGGATCACGAACTGGTCAGAAATCAGAGTGGAAGGTAGGATGTAGTGAAATATTTATGATATTGCTATCTTTGCTGTGCATGAATGAAGCAAGGCTGCCAGAATCCTTTTTTTTTTTTTTTTAATGAATGATAGGTAGATTGGTCCGCTTAAAGAAGGATTCTGCTGTATGTTTGCCACTGTCGTTATTCAGTGGAGATGACAAAAAATGTCAAATCCTCTTAAGATGTTCTGGACCATCTGAGGTCACCTTAGTACCACTCTTCTGGGAGAATAAAAGGAAAAGGCTTCTCAGACCCTTCAATAATTTAAATGTAGATTATCTAGACAAGAGGAATAGCCACTTTTGTCAAATTTTGTTTTGAGAGACAGTTCTTAATTCTCTTCCATTTTCCACATCTTGAGCACAGAGGGACTTTCTATCATTTTTCCAGACTATCTTTTCATGGGTGTTTGTAAAATGAAGAACCTCGAAAGACGAAGACTGTGTTTCCCAAAGCAAAGAGCAGGTTTGCCTACTGTCTTGTATAATAAAAAGCATGTTTATATTCAGAGTAAAAGACAGGAATAGTTACATCTATTATAAAAGATTCAGGTTCCCTAATCTCAAGACACCTCTAGTTTAATGCCAACTGCTGTATGGACCGGCATTACCTAATATTTGCACTGTCTTGTGGGAACTGGGGTGTGGGGAACCAGCACAAGAAAATGCTGATACTCTGGCTATTGCTATTGCTGATAAGATCATTTGTTTCTGAACCAGGAGTCTTGTATCTTCCGCCAGCATTTATGTAACTGTGACAGGCAAACTTATTAGCTTGCAAGGAGTATAAAATCTCAAAGAAGGGCACCTGGGTGGCTCAGTTGTTAAGCATCTGTCTTCAGATCAGGTCATGATCCCAGGGTCCTGGGATTGAGCCCATCGGGCTCCCTGCTCCGCGGGAAGCCTGCTTCTCCCTCTCCCACTTCCCCTGCTTGTGTTCCCTCTTTTGCTGTCTCTCTCTCTCTGTCAAAAAATAAATAAAATCTTTAAAAAAAATCTCAAAGAGAATAAATATAATTTAAAATAACTTGCTTATAAAAGAGCCATCTTAAGATAAACTCACCTCTGTTAACTACTTCACCTCTGTTAACTACCTCTAGTGAGAAGCAGTACTTCACCATAGGCTTGGAAAAACTTAAAAGTTTAGACTAACCACCACATGTACTTTATGTGATATTTGTCTGTTATATTTTAGACACCCGAAATATTGGCTTTACCCAACTTTACTTCAGAAGCCCATGCATACCTACTAAAACTAAATCCATCCATACTTAAATATATATTAGTACATTATCTCTATCCTAAACAAGATTTCCTCTTGGTAGATAAAGCTTGGGTTTAGAAATCTTATGAATTTTCACCTTTGATTTTGAGTTTCAAAATATAACCTCACTTATTCTTGATTTCTACTCCAATTTGCACTTACGTTTTTTTTTTTAAATGAAGATGAGAAAATTTTGTTGTGTCATAAGTAGGCAGACATTTAGAGGGACATGGAATCCTTTTGTGTTTTTTGTTGTTTTTTGTTGTTGTTGTTTTGTTTTTATTATGTTCAGTTAGCCAACATATAGTACATCATTCGTTTTTGATGTAGTGTTCAGTGATTCATTAGTTGCACTTAGTTTTTATTTATGTCCTCAAGATGTTCATTTGCTAATCTCAAACAGTAGCAATTATAATTGAATTATATCAACCTATTGTTTTTCAATTATCATCTCTACATTTGTCTAGGTCAGTATTGTAAGCCTTTTGTTAAAAACTCTGGGAAATATCAACCATATCTACATGGTACCTTTTATAAAGATCACTTGGAATTTTTTTAATTCATTTTTTAAAGCACTTGTTAGCATTTAATGAACCTCCCTCTGTGTGGCTTCAAGCTACCAGGGCATACTCCCCCACCCCCACCCCTTACCCCCAACCACACACACACACACACACACACACACACACACACACACACACACAAAACCCCTTAATCTTCTCCTCAGATCTCCTAGTGAAGAATTTGGCTTTCATGATGATAGGCTGTTTTGAAAGCTTTCCCTTTCCCAAAACTTTATATTAGCTTAATCATACCACATTTATGATAAGAGCAGCTCTAGTCTTGTTTTTGGTAGCATGTACCTGTGTCTGTTCACTGACCAAGGTCCAAGTTTACCAAGGTTGAGAGTTGGGCAGAAGCTCTGGTTCTTCTTAAAGTGGTAATGCCTCATACCAGTTTTTCCAAAGTAACCTGAGTGATATTTGTCAAAGTTGATCCTGTGGTGATGCATGCCATCAGCATTACCCTGGCATCCTGGGTGCTTCCAGTGCTTGCCAATGTCACTGTGTCCATGGCTCACGTGGCCCCAAAGTTTCCAGATCTTTCTCAGTCTGGACGGCATGTTGGCAGCCCAGACAAAAGCGTTTAATTCAATTTTAAATGTTATCAGCATTGTATCTAGATTGGGGCAGTCACCCTGGAATATAGTTAGAGAAAGATGCAAGTGCAGAGGATGAAGGGTCAAAATATGTAAATGTGAAAGAAACAACAAAAGGTAGGGATTTAAGTTGAATGTCAGGCAAATAGGCAAAAGGATCAGTAAATTCCAGAGAAATCCAGAAGGGGCAGAAGTGACAGAGCAGGTGGTAGCCTGAGGCAGACATGTTAGTATATCTCAAGTTTAGATTATTGTGTCTTATCACTTTGATGTTCCAAACAACTTGATGAGTACAAATGCACCACCCTATTCACTTGAGCAAATCTTTGCCAACACTCAGTAAGTTTCAATTTAAACACATCACACATCTGTTTACATTCAGTAGAGAAATCTGAGAATTTTCATCAGGATGTACAAAAATTGAGTCTGGAAGTTTGTGGTCTAACAAGTCCTCCTACTCAAAAGCAAAGGCATTATCGCCAAAAAGGCTGTTTGAGCACAGACAAAAGGACTGAGGTTTCAGAGATGATGGTAAATAGTGTGCCCATCCCAACTAGTCTATGTTAAGAATCAAGCTATCTTTCTGGCCACACCAAATTGGCCAAGACCAGATTTATGTGCTTATTTAACTTGGTGTCACAAAAAAGATGAAATGTTTATTTTAATAATTATATATTAGAATTCACAGTTTTCATTTTCTTCAAGACTGCATGATAGATAGGGCCCTGGGTAAAAAGCAGGATTCTTATTTCTATCAATGGAAATTTTCCCCTTGAATTTACATTTTTTAAAGATTTATTTATTTATTTGAGAGAGAGAGAGAAAGCAGTGGGAGCAGGGAGAAGGAGAAGGAGAGAAGCAGACCACTGCTGAGGGTGGACCCAGCCATAGGGCTTTATCTTACAACCTTGAGATCATGACCTAAGCCAAAATCAAGAGTCAGAGGCTTAATCAACTGAGCCACCCAGGAGCCCCTAGAATTTACATTTTAAACTAATTTTCTTTTTAGTTTATAATTTTTCACTCTCTTCTATTCATACAATAAAAGTCATTGAACACTTACTATCTTTAAAGCACTTGACTCACCACAGAGTACCAAATGATGAATAAAACAAAATCCCTGCCCTAAAGGAACTTAAAGTAGGCAGTTATCTTTGGAAATAGACCATCATAGAAGGACATTCAAATTGCCACTCCAACAAAAATATTTAGGTTGTTAGTTGGTTTAACTTACTACATTTATTAAATGATTTGACCTATCAAAATAAAAAATGTTTATAAATATTATATTTACATAAAATATATTTATATATGTTTACATATGTATGTTAATATACTTTTGCAAAATTGAAAGTGAAGCAAAATTACAAGTGGCTAGACTCATAATTCATTGTTATTAAATTGTAAGGTACTAGAAATAAAAAAAACTAGCCTATATTAAAAAATAATAGCAATAATAACTTATGGTTTTTCTATAATCACTATAATCTTTATTCTCCAGTCATTCATCCAGCACTTTGATGTGGTCACTCTTTTCTGCCTGTGTAAAGGTGCTGCCAAGTTACTCTCATCTTGTGAATACATTGCCATCATAAGGTTTGTATTTTTGAGAAAGTGAATCCAGCGCAAGTAATCCAAGGAAGTTTCAAATAGCATGGTCAAGTTAGACAGATAATATACATGTTGAAGGCTCTTCCTACAGCTATCAAACAGCATCAGGCATTCATCTGATTTATTTATTGTTGGGGTTCGTCTTACGACAGCCACCTCTACTATTGCACACAAGATAATTATTACATTGACATATCAGGTCATAGGCAAACTGTAACTAAGAAATCTACATAGAACTATATAGGTGATCCTAGGCCACATGGACAAAAATGGAAAGATCACATTCTAGAATGTACCATCTTATTGTTCTTTGCTTCAGACAGTAAAACCCCCTTATGTCATTCATATATGGTCTGCACTTAATATCTGGCATTGCCCTAGGTGGAAAGAAAATGAGTAAATGAAATCTAAATACAAACATCTAATTTTCACCTTTCATTGCAACTCTAACCTCCTCCAAACTTTTACAAGAACTAAGACACACAGTCTTCAACCAAATTAGATCTCTGGTTCCTTTACCCATCTTTTCTCTTCTAGAATATTAACTAACTTCCCCCCACCTCCAACATACATTGTTTCAGTTGCTTCTGTACACAACTTGCACACCTATAGCCTCATATTTTTATTATGTTTTTACCATTTCATGGTCCCTGGTCCTTTCATAGTGCCTATCGAGAAAATCTCCAAATTTTTACCAAGGCAACAAATCTACCTTCTTCCTTCTTAAAAACCAAGAGATAAGGAGAAAGTCACTTATTGTGAAAACTGTGACCCCTACAGATTTCTGGTTTCTGGCCTCAGTGGGGTTTACAATGTTTCATTTGACCTTGGTCTTTATCCCTGCCTCTTATTCTCTCATGTTGGAGATTCCAAATTTTTACATCTTTCCTTAGGCTCTATGCACTTGCCGCAGCCCAAACAGAAGATTTCTTCCAGTTAGGTAGTTAACTTCCCTACCTTGTTCTTAATTGCACTCAAAGTAAGCTTCCTGAAATTTGATCCTTCCCTCTATTTACTTTGTTACTGTTCTGGAGAAATCAGTGATAAATTTCTTCCCTGGAATACTGAACATTCTAACTGATCTCTCTGTCCATCATTTGCCCCCTTGCATACAACATTCATCCATTCTAATCCTGCTTCCATATGCTGGTAACTTCCTAACCCTGTCCTGACTGATCTCCTAAACCACACAGATCCACAGTTACAACTACCTTCTAAATATCTCCAAATGGACATTCAGCAGACTTCATATGCTTATCGTGTCAAAAACTAAAATTTTAAATTTCCTGCCCTGCAACCTACTTCTCCCTGAAACTGTTATTGAATCAATAGTGCAAGTTAGAATCTGTTAGCCATTGTCAGCTCCTTCTTATTCACCAATCTCCCCAGACATCACAAATAACTGATTGCTAAGCATTGTCATTATACCACCCAACTATCTTTTCAGTCTTTCTTCTTTTCTTTAATTCTCTTACTAATGTTCAAGTCTTTTTCACTTGAGGTTAAGATCATGAATGTAGCCTACTAACGACTCATTTCCTCAACTTTACTCCCTATCTGATACCAGAGCATTATTTCTAAAACATACATACATAATTCAGTATGAAAAGGCTGAAAGTGTCTGATGAATCTCACTATTCACCATCTAAAGGAAAGAAAAAGATGACATAACACTGGAAATCAAGACTGACATTAAACTAATGCCAGAATTTAGGAAGCATTTGGGAAGAATCCTCACTAAATGCAAAGTCAGTGACACTGCCCACCATAAAGAAGAGGAAGTAATATACATTTGTACTTACCTTGTATCAAGTACTGTAGTAGGTGCTTAGGTAAGAAACTAATTCATCACAACTCATTGGGTCAGAAACTGGGAAAAATAACTAGCCCAAGGTCACAAAGCAAATGGGAAGAGAATTACAACCAAGGCCATCAGACATCAAAGTTGGCTATTAGTCACTATGTTATACTATCTATCAAAAAGAATATCTAGAAGAAAAGAAATAGTCAAATAAAAAAGGAAATTTAACTAATAAAGGATTTGAAAAATTACGTTATGGATTTATTATCCATAAAGGTAAAATAACCTAGACAAAAATCTTACATGATGACTATAAAGAAAAAGAATCACTGACACAGCTTTTTTTTTCCCTGTAATAATAGTTGGCAAAAAGAGTTGAGAGAAAACTTTTTGTCCCAATAGTTTAATATTCAAGCCAAGTTATTATTCATCTATGAAGGCAACAGAAGATATTCAAATGTTCAGAAACATCCCTCCCCTGCAACACTTATGCAAAGAACACACATACTCAAGAAATGTTTGCATTACACCGTTAAGTGAGGAAAGCAGGTTATAGAACAATAGGCATTATGTAAGCTATTTTTTGAAAAAACATGTATCTTTGCAAATACATTCATGGAAAATATCTAAAAACTTTTATGGTAAAATGTTATCATGCATGAAGGGTTTTTTTAATTTCCATTTTTGTAGTATGCAATTGCTTATGCCATAAGAATAATGAAAGTTAAAATAAAAAATGTTTTTGGAAACAGATTAATAAAAATTAGAAACATAATAATCATAATATTAAAAATGATGATTAAGTGCTGAACTCTATGAAGCATAGAGCCAAACTGAAATACTCACTTGATAGGAAAACCTAATGAGAACCCACAAGAAAAAATAATTTGTTAATAATAATCTTGTATAAAAGTCAGTATTTTTTTAAAAAAATCAATACCTCAGTAGCAGAAAGGGTTAAAGAGAATAAAATATTACCATAGAGTTCACCATACACATGGGCTCTGAAAGATACCATGGTGAAAGAGTAAGAAGAGGCTTTTTTAGAAGAAGAAATTTTAGTGGCTAGGAAATATGAAAAACTATTTGTCCTCCTAATTAAGGAAATATAAATTAAAATAACAGTGAAATGTTCTTTCACATATGGGCATGGCATAAAGTAGAGATTTATATCATCCACTGCTATTGAGTTTGAAAATCAGTGAAATTGATCACAGTAAAAATGTGTACAGATGATGAGAGATGTAGGACTTTGGAGTAGCTGGTAAAATTTACAATGTGCCTAATGCTCATGTCCAACAATCTCATAGTATTTCTCTATTCAGAGAAGCACTTCCAAAATATTTATTGCAGCATTATTTGTAACACCAAAAAATTGGAAACATGTGTGAGTTAAGAAAGGAATGGGTTAAATCAATATGGTACATCCATGCTATGGAATACTGTGTTTAAAAGAATGAGAATGGGGGCACCTGGATGGTACAGTGGTTGAGCATCCAACTCTTGGTTTTGGCTCAGGTCATGATCTCAAGGTCATGATCTCAGGGTCGTG